AACGGATATCCGAATAAATTCAGATCTGGATATCCAATAGATAAATGGATAAACGGATAATGGATAGGAACTCTAATTTTAAGTACAAAAAAACATGAAAAATTTTTTTTCATTATATTTTCATGTTTAAATAAATATATTTATTAATTTTATGTTTTAGGCGTTTGATTGTCTTGAAAGGTCTAATAATCTTTCCAAACAAAAAAAATTGATTTCGAAGTACTTAAACCTATTCAAAAAATGGTAGATGACATTAAAGATTTTAAACGAGCAAAAAAGCTTCCAAAAACTTGGTGGATGTAACAAAATACTTTTTACTGGTAGCATAAAAAATTCAAATTTACGTGTATATAAATAAAATTTGAATTTGGATGTAAATGCATTCTATACATTAGAATTGAATGTAATTTGACTTAGAACTTGTAGCGATAATTAAATAAATTCTAATAAGTTGATAAAACAAAAAAACTTCGATTATTTATTCTTCAATTATTCTTATGCGCAGATTGAAATTTAAAAGGCGATTAGGTGCGTTGGCCAACTATAATTGACTTAATCCAATCATTAATTCAAATCTATCGGAAAACCTTATTTGAAAACAAATACGTCATCTACAAAATTAGATTCCCGTATTTTAATTCCGAAACCTCCTAATTAGTAAGTTTAATATTTAAAGATCGATTGATTACTAGGTGAATTCAAAAGATATCAACCATTGTAAAGATTTATTATTAACTTTATCTAATTTATCCGTGTTGATTTAGTTTAAAGAAGCTATCCAAATTTGTATTCACATGGTCACTCATGGGTCCACTCAACGGGTGAAAACTGGTTAGACAGGCAGGCCCAATTACTATCCGGGTTCTATCAGGGTGACATTTTTTCAGGCGGGTCTAATCATTACGTACTGTATGTACAGTATATAACTAATAGATTTGCGATAGAACATCACTGCAGTTATTAATGTTCAGTATCTTTGAAATTGGTAAATTGTTCTGGAATGTTTAAATGGAACGAAGTTGAACATACGTTTAGTATTATAACGAACCATCTTTATAATAACATATTATCAAATTTGGTTATATTTGAAATTGAATACTGTATGTATTTACATTAACTTCAAGTATATAAAAAAACAAAATCCGCTGATAAAACAATTTCTTCTGTAATATAATAGAGTAGAAAACCTATATAACAAACTTTTTTTTTTCTTTCAGAACCAATCAATTCTTTATAAAGTTGACTGTATTTGGGAATCAGTCTGAGGGAAGTCTTGGCAAGTTACGTACCTCTACCGTCCAGAAGACATTAAAAGTCATAAAGGGTGCTATCAAATTAGTATCTATAGAAAAATGGTAAGAATAGTGCAGTGAAAGACAAAATATGGGAAATTGAAGAATAATAAATATTCACTATTCATTATAAAATATATATTAGAAAAAAGTTGCGCTTCTGTAAATTTTTACATTTCAAATGCAGCAGTTTACGAATTTATGCCAATATCCATAAAAGTTAAAGATTTTTCTTAACTAAAATGAATTTTAAGTTCTTTGGTCATGCATTTACGTATACTCTGCGGATTCATACGTACGTATCGATATTGATTATTGCAATTACTAATTTTAGATAAATTTCTGTATTAAAAAAACGGTCATTTGGTGGTGAATAAAAAAAGTGGATTAGTGTGTTAAATTCGTCCTTCACAATTAAAAATAAACAAATTTATTGTTCAGTCTACTCAAAGGGTTTAATTTTTGCATTACTTTAATGTAAATATTATTCGTTGTTTATTAGTTGTTTATTTATAATATATTTTCTTCTAAGTTCTTTTCTGTATATAAACATTTAGATTAGGAATATTTCACGTGACAAATTGTGTGAAACTGTAGCATTTAGGCGTATATAAATACTTGTACTTATTTCATTTGTTACATTGCAGTTCACTCTTTTTTTCATCATATACGATATTTATCAAGCAATTCATTTTATAATGTCTTTGATACCTGTTGAAATTCTTCGTTTAGTTTTTGGACTTTTATCTAAAGATAAGAAGTCTTTACGTTCTTGTCTTTTAGTGAATCGAACTTGGTGTGAAAGTGTTGTTTCAATTTTATGGAATGATCCATTTCAATTTCTTAATGAACCATCTTCTTTAATTATTCAAACTCTTATTTCGTGCTTTAATGAATCTGAATTAGAAGTTTTACAGAATCGAGGAATCAATATAGAAGATTTAATAATGAATAGACCTACTTTTGATTATGCGACTTTTTTGAGACATCTAAAATACGTTAGTTTATATGATTCAACTTCTGTTTGGCTAATGCAAAATTTAGGTCAAGAGGGTAAGAATAATCCCCTCGTATTTTTTGTAATCAGAGAACTTTGTAAGCTTATAATGAATCGTTGTAAGACTCTTCTTACTTTATCTATTAGCACTGAAGGCATGGTATATTTTATTGATGAGAATGATTATGTATCAATACCATGTTTTCCTGGTGCTAGTAATTGTTTATCTCTTCTTCAGGAATTCACTTGTTGTGGAGCATTTGATAAGAAAAAAATTTTTAAGACTATGGCTAAGATATGTAGAAATATTCGATATTTAAATATCGATTATTATTTGGATGATCGGAAAACTGCGGCTCCTTCGGAGCTGGTAAAACTTATCAAAAGTCAACAAGCTTTAATATGGTTCAAACTTGCTATATTTGATAGAGTATCTGACATTGTTTCTGCTTTGAAAAGTCAAGAGAAATCTTTAACATATGTGGAGTTTCGTGGTATTGAATTTGAGGATGATGTTACATTTGAATCACTTGTGAATTGTACCAATTTGAGGTCTTTTTCTTTATTATCATGTGATAGTGTGACTGAAAAAACATTAGAACCTTTAGCAACTGCTTCTTTCCCTAAATTGAAAACATTTATCTTTAAAATTTTACCAAAACCACCTGCTGCTGTAGCATCATTTATTCGCAGTAATTGTATTAGTTTACAAGAATTAATTTTGGACTGGCAACCAATCACCGATCTAGCTGATGATCCAGAAATTATTGAAACTATTATTGAGCATTGTCCTAATATAACAAGTTTTGACGCACATTTAAAGATTCCACAACAATTAATTCCTTTTCTACGAGCATGTACTGAATTAAGAAGTTTAACTGTTCATGGTAAAGAGCGAGTAGTTGCCGATGAACTCTTACCGCAACTTGGTCCATTAATTCCTGCGAATATGTTCAAATTAAATATATGTGCTATTTGGACATTTACTCCATCAGCATTACAAGAATTTTTAGATTCATGTATTGCTCCATTAGAATTTTTAGGTATTCGAGAATGTTACGATATAACAGATGAACATCTAGACATCCTTACACGGTACGCGGAAAAGGGATCATTGAAATATTTGAATATTAAGGCTGCATCAAGGATCACGAAAGAAGGATTAGAAAATATCTGTAGTGTTGTTGATGTTATAGAGCACGGTGACCCTTCTTAAAACATTGGTTCA